GCATAATGAGTAGGAAGAAAGTAACCCTAGAATGTGTGTATTGATGTGTAAGATCTAAAACCACTGCGGGCCAAGCAAGACCCTTCAGGATGCTTCCTCCTGCTTCTCTCACCCTGGCTCCAAGTCCCTGGGATGGAAACATTCACATCCACACGTTCAATTGGAAAGAAGTACTCGGCAAGGCTGTGTGCACCTGGCTGGCACTACCTGATGTCATTAAGGTCATCCAACTCACTCCCCTAGCTCTGATTCCACACTCAGCAAGAAAGCTCCCATGGAGAGTATCCTTACAGGGCAGGGAACACATTGTCCAGCTGACACAGATTTTTAAGTATTGCTTGAAGTTCAACACACCTGGCATGCTCCTTAGAAAGAGCTCCTTTTTAAAGGAAAGGGATGCCAGGATAATCTGGTTGCACATGTTACGTGCCAGTGTCTGAGTTAAACAAGCTGCCTTGGGCTCTATAATTGGACCAATTACCAATGTCCAACAAAGACACTCTATACAATTATGTAGGTATAAGGTTAGCCAGTCACTTATGAGATGGCTCACGTGAGACTCTGCTCAGTGCAGAAACTTCAAAGAAGATGGTGACAACATCTATGAATGAGAACCTTTGTTTTGGGACTAAGACACAATAAAGGGAGGGGAGTTGGTCTTGATGCCCTACATGCTGGTAGGCCATTATTCCAGTTCTCCCCAGGTTTTCAGGATGCATTGGTCATGAAAATACTTGGTCCATGAGAGCATGCATACTCTCAGCAGTTTTGTGGTCTTGCTCTCCACCTGTTTAGCTTAATAAACTCTGATCACCTGATGATACCTGGTCTTATATTTTCCATGCACATAAAAAAGAACCTGAAGTGCAACTTAGAAATTATATATAATTTTTAATTTTGATTTTCAAATTATGTTTTAGAATGTGGTTGATTTCAGTCCATTTTACTCAGCCTAACTGACACTGGATCCTGAGCAAATTAAAGACTAGATTCTGAGTCTTGGTGATTTTCTGCCTCTACAGCTCAACTGTCTCTACCTTCGGCTGCATTTACCAGACATGAAATAATTTTAAAGTGTTAGTTAATCCACAAACTTCTACTCCTTCACCCCTTAGGAAGATATAGGAAATAGCTATTCTTTACTGACTCTGGCTGAGTGGCTATTTGGAATCTGCTGTACATGATTTTTTTATTGAACTTCAAACTGGTGTTTCTTTTGGAGACTGGGAGCAATAGAATGTAGCTTCCCCTGGTGAGAGGGAGAAAAGGGTGAGAAGAAAAAAGGATGTGTGTTTGGATGAAAAGTAGCTTCTGATATCATGGACTACATCAACAGTTTTGCAGATTCATAAGTGGGAGCATCTCTGCAAAGGAGCAGAGAAACCAGAAAATGCAAAAAAGCCCCAAATAGCAAGCCCTCACATTTGTTTAGCTCTTCACAATGTACCCAGCACCTCCACATGCGTTATCTCATGCAGTCCTCCTAGCAGCTCTGCAAGCTGGGAAGCACAGGCATTAGTTTATATTTCACACAAAGAAACTTGAGATCAGAGAGGTTATCCAAGGTCACAGGACAGAGGCAGAATTTGAACCAGTTAGAAACAGAGTAAGTTTATTGAATGAATGTCATTCATTTACTAGAGCAAGGTTAAGAGTGCAAGCATTGGAGTCAAGCAGACCTGCTTTCAAGTCATAGCTTCTCCATGTCTTAGCCATAGGATCATGACAAGTTGCTAATTTCTCTGGGCCTCTCTGTCGTCATCTGAAAAATGGGAATAATAGAATAGACCCATGAGATAGCATATTTAACAGGTTTAGAGTTGCTCTAGAACACAGTTAAGTACACAATAAATATGCCTTCTTCATGCTGTTGTTGGCATTGTTTGTAGTAGTAGAAGTAGCAATAGTGGCAAGGTATCCATGTATATCTGGCCCCAAATCCTGTATTCATTCTATGCAACACACTGCATTGATTTTTTTTCTTTTCCTTGACCGCACATATTCTTTGCTTTCTCTTTTACACCATTTTCCTTCATCCTCCTTCCTATCACATGTATAGAAACCCTACCATCCTCTGAAAGGAAAGGATAGGGAAGGCCTCATGCTGCTTTACATGAGTCACCCTCAGAGGAGAGCTTAGCATTCCCAACAAATGTTTTATTGTTTTGGTTTGCATGATCCTACACCAAGTGAAGAGATTTGAGGGTCCCCAGCAGTTAAGCTAATTAGATATAATTTTCTTTTTGGTGCTTTAGCTGAGTTAGAGGTTTCAGGAAGGAGGGAAGGAATAAGCCTGGGTTAGGCATATCAAGCCTAACTCCCACGTGATGCCTTTCATTTCTGAATTAACTCCCTGGATAAAGTGCTCTTTCTGACAACGAGATAAACAGGTTCATCTAGAGGTTTGGCTCAGTGGAGTATAAATCCCTTTGTAACCACAGTGCTCGTCTCCATCCACCCCAGCCTCCCAGCACCGAGTAGGGTACAGTGGCAGCCATTGTGTGCCCCAAAAGGTTTCACACCCATTGGGAATCTGAAACATAAACACTGCTTACACTGCCAAGTTCTCTCTGCAGACCTGCAAGGCTGGTGCCAAAATGGCTGCCTCACATCTGCCTCCACCAGACTGCAAAAAGGACTCCCCACCTACACTATCAAAACTTCTGAAATGACAGGACAGGTGGCAACCGCTGGCTGGGCAAAGGCTGATTTCCAGAACTTCAGAGTAGAGCTGTGCTGGCATCTTTTAAGAAGTTGATTCTGAGGAACTTTTCTTCTATGGTCATTCCTATATTTAGGACAGTTTTAAACCTCCAGAGCCTCTGCTATCCCTTTCTCCTCGAAGGGCCAACTGAAGGGTTTTCAGTGGCTTGTCAAATGTTCTTTATCAAGTATTTGTTTGTTCAAATTTCTCTAACAAAGAGGTTTGGTTTTGACTTACTGTTTAAGCACATGCAGGTTAAGACAGGAGCACTGAGGCATTGCTAGTTGTAACCAAAAGCATCCAATAGGCTTAATGATTTGCTCATACACAAACAAGCAAATTGGATAAAGCCTCTGCTTTTGGCTTTTACCTAACTTAATGTGGACAACTTTGTAGAAGTCTTGTCAACAAACTGAATGAGCCACTGAAAGTGAGGCATTCATTTTAGCCATAAGCTTTGATGAAAGTTTTTCTGTTGCTAGATATGAACCAGATCCCAGGAAACTTAGAAATAACAGAAATAGGGCCAGGCGCAGTGGCTCACGCCTATATTCCCAGCACTTTGGGAGGCCGAGATGGACAGATCACAAGGTCAGGAGTTTAAGACCAGTCCAACCAACGTGGTGAAACCCCGTCTCTATTAAAAATACAAAAATTAGCTGGGCATGGTGGCGCATGCCTGTAATCCCAGCTATTCAGGAGGCTGAGGAAGGAGAATTGCTTGAATCCTGGAGGCAGAGGTTGCCATAGCCAATATTGCACCGCTGCACTCCAGCCTAGATTACAGAGCGAGACTCCATCTCAAAAAGAAACAAACAAACAGAGAAATAGCATTATTCTGTCCTCAGTGATAAACCCATTTTTCCTTGCGGTCAAAAGTTTGGGTCACCTGCAAATACACAGTCAAATAATTTTAAGCAAACACATCGAAACAATTCAAGGGGGAAATGAAAGTCGAAAACAATTGGATATCCCCATGAGTAAAACTAACCTCAATCCTTACTCACAGTATACACAAAAATCAATTTGAAATGGGTCATAGGCCTAACTGAAAAAGCTTAAACTATAAAAGTTGTAAAGGAAAGCACAGGAGAATATCTCCAGGACTCAGGAGTAGTCAAAGGTTTTCTGGGTCACAGCAAGCAATAATCATGAAAAACAAGGTGATAAACTGAACTTTGTCAAAATTAAAAACTGCTCATAGAAAGACGTAATCTAAAAAACTAATCAGCAAGCCACAGATCGGAAGATAATATTCACAACACACAAATATCTGACAAAGAGACTATATCCAGAATATGTAAAAGAACTCCTAAAATTCAGTAATCAGAAGATAACCAAATTCAAAAATGGGTAAGAGACTTGAACAGGAAGATGTATAAGTTACTAAGACATATGAAGAAGTATATGACATCATTTGTCATCAGGAAAATTCAGATGAAAGGTCCATTGAGAACTGACTATCCATCCATTAGAATGGCTACAAGTTTTAAGAGAAACTGATGCCACCAAATATAGGTGAGGAGCCGGAAGAACCAGAACTCTCATATACTGCTGCTGGAAATGCAGGACAATGTACCTGCTTCAGAAGACTGTGGAAGAGCTTCTTCTAAAGTAAAACACACATCTGTTCGATGATCCAGCTGTCCTACTCCTATTTGTTTATCCAAGAGAAATGAAAGTATGTGTTCACAAAAGCACTCAGACAAGAACGCTCATAAACATTTTGTTCATGCCTAAAAGCTGGAAACAACCTAAATGTCCACCAGTGCAACAGATAAACTTCTGTATATTCATTTAGTGGAATACTACTCACTAATACAAAGAAGTGAACTACATGCAACATTGGTGAATGTTAAAAATATTGTGCAGAGTGAAAGAAACTGCACACAACAGAGTACATACAGTATGATTTCACTTGTATGAATTTGTAGAACAAGCAAAATGAATCTATGGTGTAAGAAGGCAATGTGAAGACAGAGGCCTTGACACTACATGGAGAGAAAGAGAAGACCAGTCATCCCAGTGTCCCAGCTGAGCCTAACCCAGATCGCAGAATGATGAGAAATAATAAGTTGTTTTAAGTCACTAAGTTTTAGAGTGATCTGTCACACAGCAGTCAAAAATCAGAATCATTGCTTTCCTCATGGAATTGTCAGAACAAAGTGATATGACACTCATGGAAGGTGCTCTGTAAGTGGACAAGTGCTAAGCGTTTGTCAGTGGCAGTTATCTCTGGGTATATGTGCAGATTGGGGTTAGTGATCATTAGGGATAAAGCCATTTAAGAATGAACCTGTGGAATTCAGAGGGTCTTATTACCCAACCAATATAACCTTTGGTTTCTTCTATCCCTCTCCTCTCTCTTGAGCAGCCATCCACAACTGCTTCTGGGGAAGAGAGAGAAAAGAGAAAGAGAAAGAGAGATATTCATGGTTTGTTAAAAAAATAAAATTACACTTACAAATGGCCAGAATAGAAAAGATGTACCAACTTCATTTATTTTGTTAAGGAATGGGGCTAGATTGAAGATTAGCCAATGCTTATAATTTTTAAGACTCTAAGAAATACCTTTGAAGTTACATAAGGATGGAGAGAAAGGAGGGGTGTCACCATGTTCTAAGGGGCTGGTCCTCAATCTCGTCCATGACACGTTGATCAGGCTCAGGGGAATTAAATTAAATGAACCAAATTCCCAATAAACTGCTTGATCAACCAGGATACCAGTTATCCACTTGCAATGAGAAATGCAATTTCCAAGCCACAATATTCAGCTCTGCTAGGTGGTAGGGAGAAGATTATTCTGGAAAACTAGATTACTTGACGTGATAAGAGTTTCATTCCAGAAGCATGGGGAAGTGAGGACATGTAGAGAACCATGAGCAGGTGGAGCACTTTGGGTGTGCTGAGCAATGTCAGTGGACTGTTATAAAAAGTTTAGGTAATGCATCTTTTGTGTACCTGGAATCTGCAATCTAACAGATTTCTAATCAGGCTGAGAGGAGGCTCTCAGTCCTCCCAGTTTATGGGTTTACAGGGATGTGAGGAACTCAAGACAGGGAAATAGCCTCTGTCTCCAAAATGATAGCAAGATGGGGTCCCTTTTTATGAAAAACAATGTAATAGAATTGATGAATTTTGACCATTCATGAAAGACTATTAGCTCCATGCCCAGCTCAGACACCTTCTCTAGACTGCCTCTCCTACCTAATATGTGTCCATGTCACCTCCATCTATCCATTTTTGTTCTTTTAACACTATCTTATATTGTTTATATGTCAAACCCTAAACAATGAGTTCTTGAAGGTTAAAATTATCTTATTCATCTTTTTCCCCTGGCCCCCGCATAGTCGCTAGCATACACACAGTGGCACTCAATAAATGCATGTGGGATTAATAAAAGTTTGCTGTTTCTGGAACTTGTCTGAAACCTGAAACACTGCAACACCATCTCCCTTAGAACGTCACCTTACCCTTTTGCCATAATTTTAGAGTGAGGAGGTAGAGGTCACTCGACTACTACGTGTCCTTCTATGAGGAACCTGCAGCTCAGGGCAGAAAGGCGCTGGCTGGAATCACCCTGCCAGCATACCCTGAACCCCCCCTGCGCCCCGTCTCTCACATTCCCCTCCTGGGAAAGTAAACCCAATCAAGACTCCAACATATCCCTCCCTAGGGACTCAGCCTAGAGTCACAAAGGCCGTTAAGCCTCACTGAAATATGGTTTTCTTTAATTTGTGCCCATTCATTCTTGCAGCCCCTTCCCCAGCTCCAACTACCCTAGTGTTAGTAAGGAGAGGTCGGGAGGGAGGGGAAGAATCTGCCAGGGCCCGCGCGGAGCTCTCCAGGGGGGCGCCGCGGCTGCGTATCAGCGCCCCACCACCCAACGCGGGAAGGGAGCTCCACCCCACACAGGAGGTCGCACGCATCTCTCCGGGACCATGGGCTTCGCGAGGTCAAACTGGCAGAGGGAGACGCCGCAGCTGCTGTGACAGCAAGGAACGTCGAAACCCCCTTAGGGGATACTTTACAAAATTATTTTAATCACCGTGCAGACCTAATAACTTGACCTAAGCACAGTCACCTGTACTCACCCAGAGTAAATATTCCTAAAACCCCATTCAGTGTGTGTGTGTCTCTTTCCAGTCTCCTTCCGTTTCAGGCAAATTTCTACTCCCCCCCC